AACCCTAAACCCTAAACCAGGCAGCATGGCCGAGGAGGAGCCCGAGGTTCCCCCCGCGCCGGCCGTCGCTCGCGGGGGCTTTGGTTTTCTTAGTAACTGGAGGTTAGGGTTTAGGGTTTAGGGTGAAAGAAGGTCATTGGTGGGAGGGTGGAGGTTTCAGAGGTCAGGATCCAGGGTAGAATTGCTTACGGGGGTAGCGGCAAGACTGAGAAGCGCAAACCGCCTGCAGGACTGCATACTTCGGCTATCGTGATGCCGAGGTTATTCGCGTTTTTGTTGCTGACTAAACCCTAAGGACTTACGGTTTTAGGGTTTAGGGTCACAGGTTCAGGCTGTCACGTTCAGTGCAGGGTTGACCCGAATTGACGGGAGTTGCAAGATTTGTTGGACTTCAAAACTTTGGCTTCCAAGACACCCGAGCGATTCAGGGAGCATGTTCGTTTCTGGGCCGAAAGCCCTGTTTTCAGTTCGTGGCAGAAGCCTTTCGGTGGAAGCTTCTTGCAGAGTTTACCAATTCTGACCAGTGTGGGGACCGGTACCGTAGGTCCAGGTTCGTGGTTGCCAGGAGACCCATAATCACCTACTGATTTCTTTGTAACAACAACTCTGCAGCAGCCTTTTCTTAAACTTAAGCCCTCGACCTGTTGTGGCAACATTCAACCCGAAAGCATCCTAAACCCCGCACACCCTCGCCGAATAGTAGAACTTTAGATGCCGAGCACCGCATAGCATTTGGGACCTGATGATCCGACTACTTGTAGACTTGGGCCGGCAGGGTAGATCCCTAAACCCCGGACCCTAAACGGGTTTAGGTTTAGGGTCTGCAGTGTTTAGGGCTTAGGAACCCTAAACCTTAAAAGCGTACTGAGAAGCTTTCGCCTTGGCCGTGGCATGGCTCCCAGTCAGCGCTACTTGAGCAAGTGGCGGAAAGATGGACAGTCCACCCCACGTCAACCTAAGCCCTAAGCCTGACACCCCAAATCCTAAACCTTTAACCCTCAATGCTGTGACCCTAAACCCTGAAACTCTAGCAACTCTAAGCCTCAAGGAAGCTGCGTGTTCAGGACATCCAGTTCAGCTTCAGAAACCAAAGCTACTATCCTGTCGCCGCATGTAACGCCTCAACCCATGAGCTCCAAACTCTCAGCCCCAAGAACCCCTAACTTTCTCTAAAGCCTGTAAACCCTCTACCCTAAACCCTAAACCCCAAAACCGTAAACTCTATACCCTAAACCCTAAAACCCAAAAACCCTATACCCTAAACCCCTCAAGCCCTAAACCCTGGGGAGCCCTGAAGCTTCGGGAGCCCGAAGCGCGCTCTCAGCGCTCTCTCGGGAGCCATGGGGATTCCACGCTTTTACCGGTGGCTGTCGGATCCTATGCTTCGAATCAGAGTTTAGGGTTTAGGGTTTAGGGTTTAGGGTTTAGGGTTTAGGGTTTAGGGGGGGGATTCGGTAGGTCTCAAGGACACCAGAAAAAGTAGTCGAGAATCAATGAAGGAATCGACTTTGAATCATAACAAGGGTCGCTCCATTGTTGTTAGGGGTACCTTGCTTAATTCAGAGCCTTGGGAGTCTCTGAGGAAGTGCTTTTGGGGCTCGGGGTTCATGGAAGGGGCTTCGAATTGATGGTCCAGAGTCCAAAGTCGAACAGGGGTTTAAGTTTAGGGTTTTCTGGTTGAGGCTTAAGATTTCGGGTTTGATTTAGGGATTTCGGGCGGACGTTGTTCTGCCGATGTTGTGGCTGGAGAATATAGGGTTTAGGGTTTAGGGGGGTTTAGGGTTTAGGGTTTAGCTTGCCCGCGGTCACGAGCTCCAGTGCAGGATGCCTTGACGAGCTTCTTGCTCATGCGGAGCATGATGAAGGGGCCTGCCCGAATTGCTGGCACAGGGGTCCCGCTCCTGGCTACCCAAAAGTACTTCCGGAATTGTAAGTAGGGCGACTATATCTTTCATCATTCAGAATACAACCCAATTAAACTACGTATATTGCTCTTTTGGTTGTCCTACTTGTTGGACTCAGGCTTTGGTGTAGTCACTGGGCTGCTGCACTGTCAAAACTACCCTAGCTCAGAGCACCGAAAAGTCGGAGTAGGAGCCCTGAGCCATCAACCCCAGCCTCATAGGGGGTTTAGGGTTTTAGGGTTTAGGGTTTAGGATTTAGGGGTTTAGGGGTTTAGGGGTTTAGGGTTTAGCCATCAACCCCAGCCTCATAGCCTCATGGGCTTCTACAGAGGAGCGCTTTCCGCTCATCAATGAGAACATCACGCAGGAGTTGCTTGGACTGGATGGGATTCCGGAGGTCAGCCTTCCTAAAACGGTGTCTACCCAGAAGCCTTCAGAGTTACCCATACTATTCTGGGGGTTCCTGATTATCCTTGTAGTATAATATACCCCAAAGGCCTCTTCTGATTATTACGGCCCCTAAACCTCAAACCCTCACAGTAGCCGTTGTAGTATGCCTTAAAGGAACCCCAAAACCCTATTGAAATTATTAAGGTACATGAGGGTGCAGGTGTTAAGGGCGTGCAGGGCTTCATGGTCTCGGGCTTTAGCATTCAGCCATCCCATGATCTCCTCGATCTCTGACGCGGATTCAGGAACTCTGCCACCCAAAGTTTCAGGGTTTAGGGTTTAGGGGTTTAGGGTTTATTGTCCTGAGCTGTCAACCCTTGACTCACTGCCGAACTGCCAGCCCTAACGCTGTGGTGCCGCACCGCCTCGATTGAACGCCTTCATTGGCTTGCGGGCGCAGTAGCTTGAACTCCACTGCCCAAACCCTGCGACCCCAAACCTGACTTTTGTATTGAAGCCTCTAAAATGACGCTTAAAAGCTTCAGACCGCTTCCAAGCCTGCACCCGAAGCCATCCGAAGCCTTGAACTCATGCGACCAGCCCTTGGAAGTCCAAACCCCTCAGCCCAACCCTGAAACCCTTGAAGCACCCAAACCTCTGGACCCCAAACCCCTGAAATAAACCCTAATGCACCTAAACCCGCTGAAGCCCTGAACCCCTCGGCCTTCAACCCTTCTTAACACTCTGACACCCAACCCTAAGCCCAAAGTGGTAGATCCCGGTATAAAGATCCCTAAACCCTAAACCCTAAACCCTAAACCCCTAAACCCTAAACCCTACACTACAGACAACTCTTGAGGCAGATCCCGGAGTTTGACAACCTCTACTTGGACATGAACGGCATCATCCACAACTGCTCCCACAACAATACCGGAGGCAGGGTGTAGGATTTCGGAGGGTTTGGGGGTTGTAGGCTATTGGGTTTTGGAGGGTAGGGTTGTGGATTCAGAACTTAGGCTGTCCTTTGCTTGTTCCTTGCGGAATGTATGGTTGCCGGCTTGTTTTTCATTCAGGCGGCGTTTCGTCCGTTCTCTCTAGTGCTAATGCCCCACTGCTCATGTCAATTGAATGTGCTGTCAGTGCCATGGTCACCTGGTTGTGGATGTGGTCGCACTGGATGGTATTGCTTTGCGCAGACAGATGAGGTTAAGGTGCACGTCACTATCTGTCTTTGGCCAGCCAGGGTCAGCCTAGACGCTGCGCCAAACTAAAGCCACCCCAACCTACTCACCCTCTGCACGTTATCATCTTGCAAAAACCCTAAACCCTAAACCCTAAACCCTAAACCCCAAACCCTAAACCCTAGATAGGCTGTGGACGTGTGCGGGGTGGACATCCTGTGGGAAAACCAGGAAGCCCTGAGGGTACCGTTTTCTGGGTCCTCATGAGCCCCAAGCCCTAAGCCCCAAATTCAAAAAACCCTCCCGGCTCGGGAGGTTTAGGGTTTAGGGTTTTGGGTTCAGGGTTTAGGGTTTAGGGTTTAGGGCTTACAGAAAGACCCAAACCCCGCAGCCCCGAACCCTAAAGCCTAAATCCTGCTCATCGAGGACTTTGCGTCAAGGAGGAGAATGACGTCTTCGTCGACGCCTTCAACTACATCTGCCGACTTTTTCAGATCATCCGGCCGAAGAGACTGTTCTGAAGTACCCTAAACCCTAAACCCTAAACCCTAAACCGGATCATCCGGCCGAAGAGACTGCGCTGAAGCTTTAGAGCCTAGAGGATGATCTGAAGGAGTCGGCAAATGTAGGTGGCTCTAGGGTCCTTCTACAGCGTTCCTTAAGGTGTTCTTAAAGGGGATGTTGAGGGAGTTGAGGGTTGAATTCGACCATCATTTTGGGGTTAGGGTTTTATGGGGTTTAAGGCTTTGGGGTTTAAAGTTTAGGGTTTAGCGTGAAGAGTTGTCCGACCTAGCCAAGAGCGGCACATGCATCGCCGAAAGCCATGCAGGAGTGGTAGTTCCCGAATATGATGCCTGCGTGTTGGATTCTGTCTCGAAATCGGAACGAGATGTACAAAACACCCATGGCCCAAAAGCCCGACAATTGAAAGGCCCAACTACCGGAAGCCTCCGAACGGGATAGCTTTGTCTCTAGAGCTTGGGCTTAGGGCTTAAACTTTGATTTCAACTTGGGCTGAGGAAGCTTCTTTACATGGCTGTCGACGGCTGTGCCCCACGGGCGAAGATGAACCAACAGCGCCGCTGCCCTGGTGTGCAGTTGAGGGTTTCGGGGTTTGTTTAGCGTCGATGAACCTGAAAACGGAATCCACGAGGTAGACGGAAGTCAATCTCGAACAGCCTTGTAGGTAGTAAGACCAAGAAGTACTTGATACATGCAGGTACAAACTGGTGCAAAGCTTACAAATCGTAAAGCCCCAAACATCTCGTAGCATCCTTCAAAGCGAGTAGGCGGATCCATCAAGAGCGCCCAGGCTCCCGGCGCTTCCGCGCTGCGAACGATGCCCGGGAGGCGCGTGAGAAGGCCAAAGAGATGGGCGAGGACGGCCTGGGAACCCTACTTAAAGGATCATGG